GTCATCGTCATCGTCATCATCGTCGTCGTCATCATCATCGTCATCATCAGCATCATCATCATCATCGTCATCATCTTCAGCATCTTCGTCGTCATCGTCATCTTCCTCGTCCTCGTCGTCCTCATCCTTATCGTCCCTATCGTTCTCCTCCTCCTCATCATCATCAGTGTTATCAGTATAATGATACCATCATCACCATCATTATCATCCTCATCATCCTCCTCATCATCATTATTAGCATCATCATCGTCATCATCCTCGTCGTCCTCATCCTTATCCTCCTCATCGTCACCATCGTCACTGTCATCATCCTCATCATCATCATCCTCATCCTCATCCTCATCCTCCTCATCATCATCACCAGCATCCTAATCATCATCATAGTATTCGTTGTCATCTTCATCACCATCATCATCATCATCATCATCATCATCATCATCATCATCATCATCATCATCATGGTCGTCATCATCATCATCTTCAGCATCAATATCGTCATCGTCATCGTTATCACCATCATCATCGCCACCATCATCATCATCATCATCATCATCATCATCACCATCATCATCCTCATCATCATCGTCCTCCACATCCCGGCCAGTTTATCTGTCATCCTTATCTCGAGAGCAGGCAGCGATTCTCGACTGGCTCTTGTGTGCTCGCGTCTCTGCGAGGGGGAGGGGGATGAGGAGGAGGAGGAGGAGGAGGAGGAGAAGGAGGGAGGGAGGAGATGGTAGGAGAGGAGGGGGATTGGGGGGTGAGGTGGAGGGGTAATGGGGGAGGACGAGGAAGATGCAAGGAGGAGGAGAGAGTAGGGAAAAGGAGGAGGAGGAGGAGGAGGAGGAGGAGGAGGAGGAGGAGTAGGGGGAGGAGGCAAGTTAGGTACGCTAGCGTCACATCTGACGTCCCACCCCTCCCATCCCTTACTATGGTGTATATCTTTATCTATTCGCACAGTCGTGTGTTGAGCGGGGCAATGATCCCAAGCGGGTGCGCGATGGATGGAAAAGCACGGCGTCGTAGAAGAGCACGGCAGAGCATAGCATGTCACAGCATGGTGTGGCATTGCGTAGTGAAGCATTGCATCACAAAGCTTAGCAACGCAAGGAATGGCATCGCAAAGCGGTGCACAACACAGCATCGCATTTCAGGCCGTGGCATGGCACTGGATGACTTGGAGGGTAAGTAGCCGGTCTATGAAAGGACAGGGCCTGTCCGGAATGCCGGCTCCATGTCCTCCGCAATCGTGCCTGTCCGATGTGGGCGCTTTCGAATGCCAAATGCAATCTGGAAGCGCGGGAACGAGGCCAGCGCTGCAGCGGGAGCATGATTTTGAATGGCCGAACCGCGGAAGTGAGGGCGGCGCTGCAGCGGGAGCACCATTTTGGAAGAATAAGAAACGACCATATTGGAAAAACACCGTTGTGTGAAAAACAGTACATAACAATACACGGAGAGGACGGGACACCCTCCTGACAAAGTCAGGGGAGAGAGGAGAGTAGTATTCATATTGCGTAATTGTAGAAGGAGATGGAGAAGGGAGAGGAGTGGGAGGGGGAGGAGGGGGAGGAGGAGGGGGAGGAGGAGGAGTAGTAGGAGGAGGATGTGGATGAGTATGATGAGGGATGGAGAGGATGATGCAGAAGGACGAGGCGGGAGGAGGGAGAACTCCCACAGGCGGATTTTGGATGAAAAACAAAAATCGTCCCCTGAGTATTTGTTTTACTATTTTTGCATATTTTTCCTTTAGAGGGACACGCCCGACTTAAAGCCAGACGTCGCGTGGACATGCGCTTTCGGAGGTCTGCGCGGATTCCTTGGGTCGGCGCAGGACACCCCTCCTGGAGGCGCCTCCGGCGCCGACCCAAGAAAACCCGCACGGACCTCCGAAAGTGCAGGCCCCTGCCGCCGTTCTTTCACCAACCTCACTCCCCCTCGTCCTCCTCGTCCTCCTGAAAGCCCTCGTCGTCCTCGTCGTCGTCGTCGTCGTCCTCCTCCTCCTCCACTTGCCCTCGTCTTATTATCGTCCTCCTTCTCGCCCTTCTCCTTCCTCCTCCTCCTCCTCCCCCTTCTCCTCCTCATCATCATCACCACCACCATCATCATCACTATCATCATCAGCAGCAGCATCACCACAGCAGCAGCATCAGCATCAGCATCAGTACAAGTATCAGCATGAGCATCAGCATCACCATCACCATCACCATCACCATCACCATCACCATCACCATCAGCAGCATCGCCACTGCCACCAAAGAGCCCCGGCAGCCTCTGGGGGCCCCTGGCAGCGGACGCTTCCGCTCAGGAGAGGACGGCCCTCCGAGGCGACGGAGAGACCGGATCGCCACGGCGCCGCGGCCGCGGTCTGCAAATTGCAGGCCTGGCCCGCCTTCCGTCGGAAGCAGCTTCCCCCGAGAGCCGGCGCCGTGAAAGCGTCACAGCGCCGCTCCAGGCCTTCCGAATGGGGTCCAAGCAGATGGGGTGGGAGGATCGCGCCGCATCGCCGATGCATTGGCGATGCGGCTCGATGTGAAGCCCGATCTTCTGCATGCCGATAGTGCTGATGCATCGCCGACGTGGCCGATGCATCGCAGAGGCATCGGCGATGCATCGGCGATACGGCGGGATCCTCCGACCCCATCGAATTACTCGGACCCGACCCAGGAGGCCTCTTTTCGCATCGCTGGGGTTCAGGATCTAGTTCGGGGAACCTCTTCGTGGCCGCGGCTTGCCGTGGCCAGACACGCCCGCTCGTTCCGCATGTGTATTGTCAGGAGTTTTTTGCTCGGTGTGCCGCGGCCGCGGCCACGGTGACACAACATGCCTTGCAAGCGGAGGGCGTGTCGCCCCGCTCCGCGGGGCGGGAGGCCCAGAAAGGCTGGCTCGAGACGTTAACGCTCGGGGCTCAAGAGGACGGGGGTCAATGCAAACGGGGGTCAGTCAGAGCGCCGGGTCTTGCAGGATCCTGCAGGGCCAGGGTCGCATTGACCCGGGCTTGGGTGCAGGATCCTGCAAGGCCTGACTGACCTGGACTTGGACTGACCCGGGTCAGAAGTTCCCCGAGACGCTTGGGAATTGGGACGTGCCTAGCATGTCGTGCCCAAGCGTGGTGGACCAGAGCCGGCGGCGCGATACGTCAAACAGACGCTCTTGACCGTAGCGTTCCTCTTGGTAGCACGATGTTTGCAGAAGGGAGCACGAACGGGGCTCTCGAACCCCGTCTCCGCGCGGCGCCTCTCGGGGGCCCGCGGGCCCACCCGTGAGGGCTCCCGACGGCCCGGTGCAAAAGTCGCCCGTCTTGACTTCTGCTCGTGACGCCCGAAGCGGAGGTCTCCAGGGGTCTGCTGGATCCGAGGGCGGACAGGATCCCCACCCTGCCAAGTCGATCAGCCGATTGCCCTCTCTCGGTTCTCGGGCGGATGTTGCGGCCGCATCTTTGCGGGCCTTCGCCCGCCAGGTGTGACCAAAGGGTGTCTTGCTAAAGGGGACCCATCCACCCCCGATTGGACTGAAGTCGGGCCTGTCCCTCTATAGGAGGAATATGCAAAAACAGTCGACAAAAATAGTCTGGGGACCATTTGTGGAGCACTTTTTCACTATTTTGGAATATTTTGTGAATACCTCCAATGTTTCGCCCAAAATCCGCCTGTAGGGGGACACGCCCGACGTAAGACTGGACCCTCGGGACGTCCCTGGACGCCTCCGAGGCTCCTGGAGGCGCAAGGGCCGAGGTGTTTGGAGCGAGCAGCGGAATCCTCGATCCGAGGGGCCTCTGGACGTGCGGACGCGGCTCCAGTTGTCCTTCTCCCTCGCCCTTCCTCCTCCTCCTGCTCCCCCTCCTCCTCCTCCTCCTCCTCCTCCTTCTCCTCCTCCTCCTCCTCCTCCTCCTCCTCTCCTCCTCCGCCTCCTCCTCCTCCCCCCTCCCCCCTCCCCCCCCCTCCTCCTCCTCCTCCTCCTCCTCCTCCTCCTCCTCCTCCTCCTCTTCCTCCTCCTCTTCCTCCTCCTTCGCTCGTCCTTCCTTCCCTTCTTCCTCGACCCCTTCCCCCTTCCTTTTGGTCATCTCTTGCATGGTGGAGGCCACTTCCCATCAGTCGGGAAGTTGGCAATTTTCGAGTAGAGGATTGACTACAGAATTGATGTATCCCAAAATTGACTGTTCCGTCGAATCTACGACAAATACGTATAACGCTCCGTAGACCCACGGAAGATGCTACGAATGTTCCGAAGATCCGACGGAGTTGGGGACATCAATTTTGGGGCAGATGAATTCTGCAGTCGATCCCCATGCTCGAGGTCTTCATCGTTCGAGAACAGATCCTCGGCCCCGGTGAGGCTCTGCGCCTGCCGGTTGCCTGCGTGCCGAGCTGCCGCGCCTCGCTCCTGCTCGCGCTCCGCGCCCGAGGTGCTCGGGCCGTCCCACGCCGACGCCCGGTCGGCTCGGGGCGAGCTCGCGAGGCTGGAGGAGGCGCTGGGCGAGCACGCCAAGGCCGAGGCGCTGTACCGCGGCCTCTTCGAAGAGTGCCAGGACGCGTCCCTGTCTCCGAGAGGAGGAGTGAGGAAGATTCGATGATCCTCAGGACGTGGGTTAGCACAATGTGTGTGTGTGTGTGTTATTTTGCTCGACGACTGCAGAACAGCATATGTAGAATATTCTGTCGACCTACAACAACAACTGCGCATTCCTCGTAGATTGCATTAGCCTTTCAAGTTCGGTGTAAGTGAATAGTATAGCCGATGTCCCACTCGACAGAGGAGGGACACACCACGGATACGGATGCCCTTCCCCCCTTTCCCGCTCTCTAGAGGAGGAGGAGGAGGAGGAGGAGGAGGAGGAGGAGGAGGAGGAGGAGGAGGAGGAGGAGGAGGATCAGGATCAGGAGGAGGAGGAGGAGGAGGATCAGGAGGAGGGGGAGGAGGAGGAGGAGGAGGAGGAGGAGGAGGAGGAGGAGGAGGAGCCTCCCAGAGGGGGGCACCGCCGCCCCGCGGACGGATTCGCGCCGGCATCCTGGTCAGAACGCGCCCCCAGGAGAGGTCTGGGGAGCTGCGGTATCGGCACCTTTTTTCGGGACGATCGAAATCGGTACGAAAAGAATGAGTACGATGCCCAACAGCAGTTCCTGTTCATTTTGATCAGGACTCGCTGTCCGTGCTGCCGCGGACGTTGTTATTTGAAGACAAAAACCTGCTTGCCCAACAGCGGCCGCTGTCGGTTTTGGGCTACACTTGTTGTTGGGCATCGCACGCATGTTTTCGGTACCCATTTCGGGCGTCCGATTTTGTGCTTCCCCATCCCCTTTCCCACCAGACTTCAAGCATATTGAGCAAATTGCGGCGTAGATGTTCCTGCTGTTTTCGGCCTCTGGGGGCTGTGCTCAGACTCCGGGGGCGATGGAAGAAACGCTGTGGGGCGCAGGAGTGTTCTCCCAGAAAGGGGTGGGGCCCGCGCATTCAAAGCATCAGGATGTCGCAGGCTCCAGCTCCCTGGCTCAGCCCCTCTGCGCTCTCCTACAATCTGGGCGCCGTCAACAAAAATCACGATCACCATCGTTGCCCCGTTTTGAGCCTTGGGGCCTTCATGGATCGATCTGGCCGGAGAAATCCCTCACAAGGATGGGGTCGGCAGCGATTTGGTCGTGTTTTGCTCGTTTGTGTTATGTTGCCCCCGACGTGAGTTTTTTCCCCGACCTCGGACCTCGGAGCCTCTGCCTGCCTCCCATGATCCCCGTCGCTCCTCCCCCCTCGCTCACCCCCATGCGCCCCGACGCCTCACGAGCAGACCGATCACCGCGCCGACGCCTGCTTCAAAAGACCGTCTGCCTCCCTGGTTGTCCCGCGGCATTGCTGCTTGTTCCGCGGCACTGCGTTGCACCATTCTTGTTCTTTCTCTCTCCCTTTCTCCCTTTCTCTCTCTCTCTCTCTTTCCCTCAGCTGCCGCTGCCTCTTCCTCCTCCTGCTCCTCCTCCTCCTCCTCCTCCCTCCTCCTCCTCCCTCCTCCCTCCTCCTCCTCCTCCTCCTCCTCCTCCTCCTCCTCCTCCTCCCTCCTCCTCCTCCCTCCTCTTCCTCCCTCCTCTTCCTCCTCCCCCTCCTCCTCTTCCTTCCTTCTCCTCCTCCTCCTCCTCCATCCCTTTTCCTTATGAATAACTCCTCCCTGTCGCATCTAGAAGCCGGTCAAAAGGATGGGCCTGGCGTTTCGCCTGAGACTTCCTCACCACTACGTATGGCCCTGAAACTTGACATTTGCAACAGTTTCACGGATAGAGAATGGGTGGTTTTCAAACTGGTTCTCGCCGTAGCGCCGCGCACATTCGTCTTAAAAGTTTGCACGGTGTGTTGCCAGGGGCGCGCGCTGCTCGAAGAGCAAGCGGCGTCCCGCCCAGCCCCAGAGCCGCCGCATCCGACCGCAAACGTGCAACAGGTAGGCAGCCGCTGGAGCTGGGCCAATATCGGATGGCAGGCTGAGGTGTTTCGGGCGTTTGGGAGATGTGCGGTGGAGGGGTCGTACGCATGCCGAGGCGCGCTCGCATCTCCTAGGCCGCAGTTTGAAGCGATGACCCTCGGTGAGGATAGCTGAGGAAGAGGAGGAGGACGAGGAGGAAGAGAAGGAGGAGCAGGAGAAGACGGAGGAGCAGGAGGAGGAAGAGGAGGAGGAGGAGGAGGAGGAGGAGAAGGAACAGGAGGAGGAGGAGGAGGAGGAGCATGACGCTACGACTTGGATTAACATCTTCTGATGGCCGCCATTATTTGGCCGACCACCAACGCTGCAATACTGAGCGTGCCGAGGCCATATTTAGGCAGCGCCAGGCCCAGGCATGAACTTTATTTGTCTAGGACTCTCGGTGAGTGCAGTATGGAGGAGGAGGAGGAGGAGGAGGAAGATGAGGAAGAGGAAGAGGAGGAGGAGGAGGAGGTAGTGAGTATACGGCCTCGGTGGCGGGGAGGGTAGGATCAACGGCATCTGCACACAGGCCCCACTGGCAACCACGCGCTAGCGTTACGCATCGGAGGGTATCTAAGCTTACCCTGCAATGTCCTTTATCGCGCACGCGCTACACAGATGGGGGTTGGAACGTCAAGGGGATGTATGGCGGGTGTGAGCTCATGGGTAAGGACAGTCGCGTCATGTCCATTTGTCCGTTGCACTCTATGCCTTTCTCGCCTTCAGATGCAGATGTCTGGACCTTTTGACCACGCTGTTATCGTCTCGCACTCGTCCTCTTGGGTTGTTTCCGTGTCCGTCCCTAGAAGAGGTCGTGTTGCTGAGGGACGCAACAGCCAAGCCGCAGATGCTTGCCGGACGTAACAAAAACAGGAGGAGAAGGAGGAGGAGGAGGAGGAGGAGGAGGAGAAGCAGCAGCAGGAAAGAGAGTGAGGAGGAGGAGGAGGAGGAGGAGGAGGAGCAGCAGCAGCAGCAGCAGCAGGAGGAGCACTGGGGTGAGGAGGAGGAGGAGGTGGGAAGGAAAGAGGAGGAGGAGGATGCGGGGGAGAGGGGAGGAGGAGGAGGAGGAGGAGGAGGAGAGGAGCAGAGGAGGAGGAGGAGGAGAAAAAGAAGAAGGAGTTTGAGTTGAGGAGGAGGAGGAGGAGGAGGAGAGTGAGAAGGAGTGAGGAGGAGGAGGAGGAGGTGGAGGAGTGGAGGAGGGTGGAGGAGGGGAGTGAGGAGAAGTGAGGAGTGAGGACTGAAGTGAGGAGTGAGGAGACGGAGGAGGAGGAGGAGGAGGAGGAGGAGGAGGAGGAGAAGGCGGAGGAGGGGAATGATGAGGAGGAGCAGGAGGAGGAGGAGGAGGAACAGCAGGAGGAGTGAGGAATTAGGAGTGGAGACGATGACCCACTCCTTCTTGCTGGTCAGGAGTCCCTGGGGCCCAGCCACCCAGAGACGCTCCTGCACCTGGAGGCGTGCGCCTCGGACGGAGGGAGGGGATGCACAGAGTGGTCCCGCGCCCTCCTTCTCCGCCTCCGTCTCCTTGTGCTCCTCTGCCTCCTTCTCCGCCTCCGCCTCCTTCCCCGCCTCCCTCTTCCTCGTCCTTCTTCTCCTCCTCCTCCTCCTTCTCCTCCTCCTCCTCCTCCTACTCCTGCTGCTCCTCCTCCTCCTCCTGCTCCTCTCGGATGTTCTTCAACCTCCTGCCCTGACACGTCGATGAGCGAATTTGCCGTTTCCGGTTCGCGAGAGGACGTCTCGGCCGTCATTTTTGCGGGTCCGGGTCCGTCGGTTTCTGTCCCAGGTCGTTTTCACGAAAGGGTGGTTTACTAAAGGGAGGTTTGTCCACCGCCGATTCTCCTTTTCCTTAGAATAGCTCCTCCCTGTCGCGCCCCGAGGCCAGTCAAATAGGGTGGGTCAGGCGTTTCTCCTGAGACTGCCTTACCGTTTATGATCCTGGAAATAAAGACTTGCAACAGTTTCACGGATGGAGGGTGGGTCGCTTTCAGAATGTGGTCTTCGCTTTCGCGCCGCGCACATTCGTTCAACAATTTGCAATAGTTTGGCGGATGGAGGGTGGTTTATTTTCAACATGTGGTTATCGCCTTAGCGCCGCGCACATTGTTTTTTTTGCATTGCAAGAGTTTCACGGATGGAGGGCGGTTCGTTCGCAAAATGTGGTTCTCGCCTTAGCGCCGCGCATATTCGCTTTAAGTGTTTGCAGCAGTCCCAATGCTTCTCATGGTTCACGTTTCAGAAATGGTGTTTGGGCACGACGTCGGAATGTCAGGGCGTAGCGGTGTTGCTGATTCGCGGCGTTGAAGTCCCAGGAATGCTGTTCTGGCGCAGTTTAGGATTGTCCAGACGCAACAGTAACGGTGATTCGCGGCGTTGAAGTCCCAGGAAGAATGTTCTGGCACAGTTCCAGATTTTCAAACCGTTGTCTTCACACGGGGCACTTCCACAAGCGAAGATGACTATTTGTAGGGGCCTATAAAGATGGAACTTGGAGGGAGGGTTTATTGCAATATCGTTGACGAGTCTTGGGCTTGTACTGGTCCTCTCTCCTCCCCCTCATCCCCCCTCCTCCTCCTCCTCATCCTCATCCTCCTCCTCCTCCTGCTCCTCCCCCGTCCTCCTCCTTCTCCTCCTCCTCTTCCTCCTTCCTCGTCCTGTTTCCTCTTCTCTTCCTCCTTCTCATCCTCCTTCTCCTCCTCCTCCTTCTTCTCCTCCTCCTCCTTCTCCTCCTCCTCGCGCCCGTCCTGTTTCCTCTTCTCCTTCTCCTCCTCCTCCTCCTCCTCCTTCCTCGCCTCCTCCTTTTCCTCCTCCTCCTCCTCCTCCTTCTCCTCCTCCCCCTCCTCCTCGCGCCCCCCTCCACCCCCCTCCTCTTCCTTCTCCTCCTCCTCTCCTGCTGCTCCTCCTCCTCCTACTCCCTTCCCTCCTCCTCCCCCCTTCTCTTCCTTCTTCTCCTCCTACTCCCCTCCTCCTCCTCCTCCTCCTCCTCCTCCTCCTCCTCCTCCGCCTCTCCTCCTCCTCCTCCTCCTCCTCCTCCCTCCTCCTCTTCCTTCTTCTTCTCCTCCTCCCCCGTCCTTCTCCTCCTTTTCCTCCTCCTGTTCCTCCTCGTTCTCCTTCTCCCTTCTCCGCTGTTTCCACGCCGCAGACAACCAACGCCAGACCACGCACAGGCACAACTACCTCAATGACACCATCTGGACGCAATCGACTACAACAGATTAATGGGAACAGTTAGAAACATTTTTCGTTACCTATAAGTCTTACGGCACCTCAGCCACACCGTCGTCCTGAGCAGGCTATCGATGCTCGTGGCTGTTTCTGCGAGGCCATGGCCTCACACACTCCGCCCTCAAGGGGCCCAGGCGAATGCCCGCATGAGCGTTCCGTTCCGTTCCGTTCCTCCGCCTGCCTGCCTGCGTAACGTCAGAGAGCGGCGATCCCTTGACTCCGATGGCCCGCGCGCGCGGCCGCGCGGCCCGCGCGCTGCCCACGGAGCCGCCGAGCCCACGCCAGAGCTCGGACGAACTTCTGGAGGGGGGTCGGAGGGAGGGAGACGTACCATGCACTGGTCTGTGCACTGCGGTGGGGAGGGAGAGGGGAAGAGTGAGCAGGTGAGGCGTGCTGGTTCTAGCCGTGCTGGTAGCTTGCTTCGGCCCAGTCGCGGAGCCCCGGTGCTCAGCACCCCAGTGGAGGGGACTGAGGGCGCCACCCCCCCCCCGGATGGCACCGAGGGCTCGCCTCCCGACACTGCCTTCGCGAGGAAGTCGAAGAAAGGACGCACTGCTTGGAGTCCAAGCGGCCCCCAGGGGTGGCACCATGCAGCGGCCCTCTCCTTGGCATCGCTCGGACGTGTGCATTTTTTCCTCGGCGAGGACCATCGGTGAGCATCCTGGATCATCAAGCAGAACCGGAAACGCACGAAACCGAAAAATGCACGGGGAATGTGCATCAGAGCGACGGCAAGTTTCAGGTTCACGTAATCGTCCAGCTTCAGGCTGGCCGGTCTCGCCTTCTATTCGAGCTCGGCTTCTAGGGGCGCCCCAGAGTCGTCGCTGGCCAGTTCATGGTACTCTGCCTTCCAGATGTCTTCATTCGGGTAGGCATTACCGTCCTGAACGCCATCTGGGCACTCGTCGCTGCTGGTTAGCGCGTCCTCCTGCCGTCGTAGTAATTCTGCGGCTGAGTAAGGTATCGGCCGCTGGCCAACAGGTATCCGGTCCATGTGTGCCTCGAAATGGTCGTGGGCGGACAAGAGCGCCTTGATGGCTCCGGAAGGGCCCAGCGTGAGGACCGTCTCGTCCCCGTCCTCGTAGTGGCCGCCTGGGCGCATGTCTGTGGGTACCATATTGAGGTGGGGCTTGTTCTGAGCAGGGCTCGTGAGTTTCGCGATGCCTCTGCTGGCGAAGTCCCTTCTTCGTCTGTCATAGTCCGGAGGAAGTCCAAAACCTCCAGTACGGCGCACATGATGATGCTGATGATGATGCTGATGATGATGATGATGATGATGATGAATATAATTATGATGATGGCGAAGAGGATGCGGATGAGGATGAGGATACGGATGATGAGGATGAGGATCAGGATGAGGATGAGGATGAGGCTGGGGATGATGATGACGATGATGACGTTCATGGTGATGGTAGAGATGGTGATGGTGATGATAATGATGATGCTGATGATGATGAGGATGAGGATGAAATGATGATGGTGATGATGATGATGATGATGGTGGTGATGGTGATGGTGATGATGGCGATGGTGATAGTGATGGTGATGGTGATGGTGATGATGACGGTGATGATGGTGATTCTGATGATGCGAAAGCTGATGCTGGTGCTGCTGGTGCTGACTATGGTGGTGATGATGTCGATGCAGTTGACGATGATGGTGATGATGAAGTGATGCTGGTGATGATTATGCATATGATGATGCTGATGATGATAATGCATATGATGATGCTGATATTGATGATGGTGATGGTGATGATGATGGTGACTGTGATGGTGATGGTTGTTGATGAATGATGATGGTGGCGACGATGACAATTAGGATGCTGATGATGATGTTGATGACGATGCACATGTTGATGACGATGCTGATGAGTATGAGGATGATGATGAGGATGATGCGGACGATGGTGATGACGATGCTGATGATGCTGATACCGATGACGATGACGATGAGGATGAGGATGAGGATGGTCATGATGATGATCATCATGGTGATGATGATGATGATGATGTTGATGATATAGATGATGGGGATGGTGATGGTGATGGCGATTCTGATGATGATGAGGATGATGATGAAGATGAGGATGAGGAGGATGCGGAGGATGATGATGATGATGAGGATGATGATGCTGATGATGATGATTGTGGTTGGTGGTGGTGGCGGTGGTGATGAGGATGGTGGTGGTGATGACAATGCTGATGCTGATGATGATGACGATGCTGATGATGATGATGACGACGATGATGATGACGATGATGATGATGGTGGTGGTGGTGATGATGATGGTGATGGTGGTGGTGATGGTACTGATGATGATGGTGGTGGTGATGGTGATAGTGATGATGATGATGATGATGATGATGATGACGATGATGATGATGATGATGATGAGATGAGGGTGGGATGATGATGATGGTGGTGGTGGTGATGGTGGTGATGATGATGACGATTATGGTGATGGCGATGGTGATGGTGATGGTGATGGTGATGATGATGATGATGAGGTGGTGATGATGATGATGATGATGGTGATGGTGATGGTGATGGTGGTTGTGATGGTGACGGTGATTATGATGACGACGACGATGATGATGAGGATGCTGCTGCTGATGCTGCTGCTGATGATGATGATGATGCTGCTGCTGCTGGTGATGATGGGCTCTTTCTTATCGTCGCTCTGCTCGTCCTCCTCGGGCGAGTCCGGTTTGCGAGGCTCCTCGTAGCTGTGGCGGTGGCTCTCGAGGCCCTTGTAGTTTAGATTAGTTCAGCTGATGGCGCTGGCAGCTCTGCTGGAGGCTCTCGCAGCTCTGCTCGTGTCCCGCGTAGTTCAGCTTGCGGCCGTCGTCGTAGCTCAGTTGGTGGCCCTCGTAGCTCAGCAGTAGCTCAGCAGGTGGTTATCGTAGCCCTGCTTGCGGCCCTCGTAGCTCAGCTTGTGATCTCCGTGGCTCAGCTGCGGGCTTTCGTAGCTCAACTGGTGGCTCTCAGTGCTCTGCTCGCGGCCCTCGTAGCGCACCATGTTGAGCTTGAAGTCGTAGCTCAGCTCGTGTCCCGCGTAGCTCATCTTGCGGTCTTCGTAGCTCAGCTTGTGGCCCTTGTAGCTCTTCTGGTGGCCCTCGTTGTTCTGCAGGTGGCCCTCGTAGCTCAGCTGCTGGCTCTCGTAGCTTTGCCGTGGCCCTTGCAGCTCAGCGTGTGGTTCCCACGGCACAGCTGTTGGCTCTCGAGGCTCA